ACTCCAGCTCTGTAAACGGCCACCTTTTAGTAATGATGAACATTGATGCACCCAGTACAACCACAGGGCTGCTGCGACCACCCGTGATTCCATGATATGGCCTCGGGCCCACACGCGATCCAAGTAAGCACCGCACTTGGAGAGGAGCTTCTCAGAGAGGGTGTTGATGCTGGCGTAGCTAACAGGATGAAAGTGCCGGCATCGGGACGAGGGCAGCGGTGATCCCGAGCTAGGTAATTACTGGTCCCTCCAGCACGGAGGCACGTCCACACACACGCTGTGATCAAGGCGGCGCCAGGAGTTGTGGGACGGTTAGAAGTTTGTTAGGAGTTTGTTAGAAGCCATGGAGCTTACATTCTCACGAAGGAAGAAAATCATGAATATAAGGGACTGTAGCCCCAGACACGAACGGACCCACGGCAGCAGGTGTGGAGAACCTGGGACCAGCTGTGCTGGGCTGGGAGTTCAGCGCTGCTGTGTCGGGAAAGCTTCCTGCCTCAGAGTGTCCACATTCTCTGGGAGGGGATCCGGGAAGGCCAGCCCCTAATGAGCGCGGGTCCTGCATGGCGCTGGCTGCCCATCTGGTTCCGTGGTCAGGTCCCAGGCTCCGTGGTCAGGCACCAGGGTCCGTGGTCAGGACCCAAGGTCCATGGTCAGGTCCCAGGCTCCGTGGTCAGGCACCAGGCTCTGTGGTCAGGCACCAGGCTCCGTGGTCAGGTCCCAGGCTCCGTGGTCAGGTCCCAGGGTTCGTGGCCAGGACCCGGGCTCCGTGGTCAGGTCCCAGTCTCCGTGGTCAGGCACCAGGCTCCGTGGCCAGGTCCCAGGGTCCGTGGTCAGATTTCAGGGTTCGTGGTCAGGTCCCAGGCTCCGTGGTCAGGTCCCAGGCTCCGTGGTCAGGCACCAGGCTCCGTGGTCAGGCACCAGGCTCCGTGGTCAGGTCCCAGGGTCCGTGGTCAGGTCCCAGGCTCCGTGGTCAGGACCCAGGCTCCGTGGTCAGGACCCAGGCTCCGTGGTCAGGCACCAGGCTCCGTGGTCAGGCACCAGGGTCTGTGGTCAGGTCCCAGGCTCCGTGGTCAGGTCCCAGGCTCCGTGGTCAGATCCCAGGCTCCGTGGTCAGGGAGGAGGATCCCAGTCCCAGGACGGTTGGTCGCAAGCCAGTCTCAGCTCACAGTCCCCCTTCCGCTGTCCTTTCCCACGAAGGCTGCTGTGCACGTCAGTGCGCCCTGACCGACGTGAGCCGGAGACTGTCATCAAAGCGCTTCCCGTGCCATCGGCTGAGGCCGCCGTGACCGGCTGAGCTGGGCTGAGCGGTCCCGGGCCGCGGTGCGGGGAGCGGAGGGCTGCACGCGGACCAAGCAGCGGAGGAGGCAGGTGGGAGCCGTCTGGGCACCGGAGCCCGCACCGCACAGGCCGGCGGAAGCGCTTGCTTCCGAGCAGCCGCGTGGGAGCGTGGGGCTCGCTCCTCCGAAGCCCGCTTTGCCGATGTGCCTGGTGCCACGTCTCACTCTGACTGTGGGCATCCCTTTTTATTTTATTTTATTATTTTACTTTTTAAAGAGGAACAGGAAGGCCGCTCCAGGGGCTGTGGAGGGCCGGGCGCTTGCTTTCCCAGCTCCTCGCAGTGGGAATAGTAACGGGCCGGTACTCACAACCAGGCGGAAGGAATGTGGCCTGGAGGTCAGTGCGCTCACGGCCAGCAGCGGGAGGGCCTCACGGACCTCAGAGCCCGAGAGCACTCTCTCCCTTTCTGACTGAGGGGCGCCTGCCAGTTGGTGTGTTTGGAGACCCTGAGTGACCATTTGTCCCGGAAGCACGCCCACAAGATGGTGGCGGTGTGGAGGGGGGCGGGAGGGGAACACCTCAATGAGAAGATTGTCCCTGAGGACTCTCAGCGCTTCCCAAAGGGGAAGAGTCCTTGCCAAGTCTCTAGATGCTGTGTGTGCCTGTGCCTGTGCCTGTGTGAGTGTACGCGTGTGTGCGTGTGTGCGTGTGCCTGTGTGTGAGTGTACGCATGTGTGCCTGTGTGTGCCTGTGCCTGTGTACGCGTGTGTGCGTGTGTGCCTGTGTGTGTCTGTGTGAGTGTACGCGTGTGTGCCTGTGTGTGCGTGTGTGTGCCTGTGTGAGTGTACGCGTGTGTGCCTGTGTGTGCGTGTGTGTGCCTGTGTGAGTGTACGCGTGTGTGCCTGTGTGTGCATGTGTGTGCCTGTGTGAGTGTACGCGTGTGTGCCTGTGTGTGCCTGTGCCTGTGTGTGTGTACGCGTGTGTGCCTGTGCCTGTGTGTGAGTGTACGCGTGTGTGCCTGTGTGTGCCTGTGCCTGTGCCTGTGTGAGTGTACGTGTGTGTGCCTGTGTGTGCCTGTGCCTGTGTGTGAGTATATGTGTGTGTGCCTGTGTGTGCCTGTGTGTGCCTGTGTGTGCCTGTGTGTGCCTGTGTGTGCGTGGGCCCGGGGCAGGGGCACAGCTGCGGCGGCGTCCTGAGTGAGGCGGGGCAGGAAGCTGGCATTTCCAGGGTGTCCGGGAGGGAGGCGAGGGCCTGCGTGGTTTCCATGGATACTGCACTGCCCAGCCTTCCTCTGGGCGGTGACCCACGGGCGTGCGCTGGGCCGAGAGGGACTCAGCTGGAGGAAGCCTGGTCCCGCAGACGTCCCCCCTTCTCTCCCCACGGCCTCAGGCAGACGTCACTGCCCACACAGCACGCTTCACCTCTCACTCGGGAGGTCCGCTTAACCCTGTCCCACGGGGCACGTGGAGGCTAATGGGGGGGTCCGAACACTCGTACCCCAAAGCACACGCAGCTATGTTCCTGGACCTCCCTACTCGCCTGTCTGCACGTGAGACACTGAGTCCTGCTCTGTCTCCGCCTGCGTTTGGCGCCTCAGAGAAAGGTCCCGTCTTCCCAAACACCCGTCACATCCCACCTTATTGTTTTTGAAAATATACACGGAGTGGCCAGAGGATGATCTCTGAACCCATAATCATCTGGCCACTCCGTGTCTGTCCTAAAGAACAAAAGGCTAATATGCAAATTGTCCCCTCGACCAGGAGTTCGACCAGCAGGCCGGCCAGCCAACCGCCCATGTCCCCTCGCCCGGCCAGGCTGGCCGGACCCCACCCATGCACAAATTCATGCACTGGGCCTCTACACACACACACACACACACACACACACACACACACACACTGAGCGGCCAGGTTATTATGCGTTCAGAGATCATGATAATCTGTCTACTCTGTGTGTGTGTGTGTGTGTGTGTGTGTGGTAGTGGGGGTGGGTATTCCTCTCTGAAATCAATTAAAAGATATAAATATACATGTATATTTAAATATATACTGTTATTGATTTCAGAGAGAAGGGAGAGGGAGAGACGTAGAAACACCAGTGATGAGAGAGAATCATGGATCCGCTGCCTCCTGCACGCCCCTCACTGGGGATCGAACCTATCACCTGGGCATGTGCCCCGAACGGGAATCATAGGTCGGCGCTCAGCCACTGAGCCACCCCGGCCGGGCACAGCCCCGCCTTTGGCACGCAGGGTCACAGCCGGTGAGAGCCACAGGTGCGCTGGCGGGCTCCGGGGCGGCGGGCACCGGGGCGGCGGGCAGGGCCGCCCCTTTGAGGAGAGAGAACGATGTGGAACTGGGGGCTCCTGGTGCGTCTCGAGGGGTTCATCCTTTCCCTTAGCTCATCGGGACAGACGCTCCGAGGCCGAGGGGCCCCTGCCCACACCGCACACGCAGCCGCAGGACGTGACCGCCACACCGCAGCTGTCGGGCAGAGGCCCAGCCCAGGCCCACCGCCCAGGCCGGGTCCTGCCCTCCGAGCCGGGCAGCTGGGCCGGCGGCCGGGCTTCCCCACAGAGAGCACCGCCCGAAACAGGCCGCGGCCCAGGCCGGCTTCTCCCGGGAGAGGCCAGCCGTTTCGCCAGCCGTCTCACGGACGGTGACCTCCCCGGCCCTGGGGGATTCTCCACTCACCGCACCCCTGGGGGGACCTGAGACCCGGGGTCCTCGTAGCAGAAACCCGGAGCTGGGCTCCGCTGTCCTCACGCCGGGAGGACCCGGGGAGCCGAGGGGAACACCCCCATTCACCGCCGCGGCAGCGGACAGAGCGGCTGGGACACGGGGGCGCTGGGTCCCAGAGTGTCCTCTCCGACACATAAGCACGAGGAGCGCGCGATTAGCCATCACGGCACCGCGTCCCTCCCTGCCAGGCCGAGGACAGCGACAGGGAGATCTAAAAGCTGGGTCACCTCCGGAGAGCAAACGCATGTCTTGCTCTGACTCCTTTCCAGAACTCACATTAAAAAACTGCGGTATTTTCCTTCCCGGTATTAACGAAATACTTTCCAGATCCACCGCCCCGCCCGCCCTGCATTCCTCTGCCCGCTCCCGGCTCCTGTGTGACCCCGCTTCTCCCTGCCCGGCCCCGGACCACAGTCCTCCCCTCCCGCTCGGCTCCCCCTCAGTCCTCCCCTCCCGCCCGGCTCCCCCTCAGTCCTCCCCTCCCGCTCGGCTCCCCCTCAGTCCTCCCCTCCTGCCCGGCTCCCATGCAGTCCTCCCCTCCCGCCAGCTCCCCCGCAGTCCTCCCCTCCCGCCCGGCTCCAGGACACCTCCCCCGCGGCACGCACAGCGTTTCCACTTGTTTGTGCCTGTCCTCTTCTCTCCCCCTCTTCGAAAAGGCTCTAACTTTTGGGGGGACTGTTCTAAACAGTGTCCGAGGCGGGGACCTGCCTTCGAGGGCACGTCTGTCAGACGGGAGTTTCGGGAGAAGCTGCGTCTCCCCGTAGCCGGGCCGGCGGGCAGCCCTGGAGGCGTCTGGAGCAGGCGCGGTGTTTGCAGAAATCCTGATCCCGGACTCTGCCCCGGGGCTCGGAAGCCGGGGGGCTGGGCCGGGTCGGGGTTGGTGGGTAAGGGCAGGCAGAGAGCGTCTGAGGGCGATGACAGCTCTGTTCTCCGCTGGGGGGCTCGGCGGCCCCGGCAGTCCAGCGGGGACGGACTCACCGTGATGGCCTGCAGCCGTGCCCGCAGCAGCTCAGCCTCGTCCATCCTGGCAGCCCCAGCCCGGCGGCAGGATGTCCCCGGCGACCATCGGTCAGGAGCCGCCCGGGGCCAGGGGCAGGGCGAGGGGGAACCGGGCAGGTTTGCCCTCGGCCCCGCGGGGAGCAGCGTCTGGGAGCAGATGGCAGCCGGTCAGGGCCGGCCAGACGGACCGGCACATGTGAGGGTGCGCCGGGCGGCGCCGGCTGCCGCTCGCTGACTGACAAGTCTGAGCGCGGCTCCAGCCCTTCCTCCGGAGCTGCCAGCCCTTTGTTGTAACGCGCTCGGCGAGGCTGCTGTTAACTGTTCCTTCCCCAGCCCGGCCCGCCCGCCTGGGCTGGCAGGGAGCCTCCCTCGTCCGTCCTCCCCGGGCTGGCACAGGAGTCCAGGCTGGTCCTCCCCGGGCTGGCACAGGAGCCCAGCGGGTCCTCCCCGGGCTGGCACAGGAGCCCATGCCCGTCCTCCCTGGGCTGGCACAGGGCCCATGCCTGTCCTCCCCGGGCTGGCACAGGAGCCCAGCCCGTCCTCCCCGGGCTGGCACAGGAGCCCAGCCTGTCCTCCCCGGGCTGGCACAGGAGCCCATGCCCATCCTCCCCGGGCTGGCACAGGAGCCCATGCCCGTCTTCCCCGGGCTGGCACAGTAGTCCAGGCTGGTCCTCCCCGGGCTGGCACAGGAGCCCAGGCTGGTCCTCCCCGGGCTGGCACAGGAGCCCAGCGGGTCCTCCCCGGGCTGGCACAGGAGCCCAGCCCGTCCTCCCCGGGCTGGCACAGGAGCCCATGCCCGTCCTCCCTGGGCTGGCACAGGAGCCCATGCCCGTCCTCCCCGGGCTGGCAGGGGAGCCCAGGCTGGTCCTCCCCGGGCTGGCACAGGAGCCCAGCCCGTCCTCCTGGGCTGGCACAGGAGCCCATGCCCGTCCTCCCTGGGCTGGCACAGGGCCCATGCCTGTCCTCCCCGGGCTGGCACAGGAGCCCAGGCTGGTCCTCCCCGGGCTGGCACAGGAGCCCAGCGGGTCCTCCCCGGGCTGGCACAGGAGCCCAGGCTGGTCCTCCCCGGGCTGGCACAGGAGCCCAGCCCATCCTCCCCGGGCTGGCACAGGAGCCCAGCCCGTCCTCCCCGGGTTGGCACAGGAGCCCATGCCCATCCTCCCCGGGCTGGCACAGGAGCCCAGCCCGTCCTCCCAGGCTGGCACAGGAATCCTTACTGAGAGTTTGATCAGCCTCCGCCAGCGACACCGGGGCCCCTGTGGGGTCTGCGTGTCTGTCCCAGGCACTTCCCCTGCCCTGTCTCCGGGCTCTGCAAAGACGGGGCCTCACCTGCCTGCTCCTGCCCTCCCCTGATTGGCTATAGGTAATCATTGATTGGCTATAGGTAATCATTGATCGGCTATAGGTAATCATTAAGCATTCCGGGCTTCCTCTGGAACTTGTGAGAGTGGTAAACAGACATCGGCTGGCCGCCTCTCCCCCTTGCTTCCCGCTTCCGCGGTGGCTAGAATCTTGGGGATCCTTCGGGTCACGGTGAAGCACGGGGTGAGGGGGCTGTTGAGATCCCCCCCCCCCTCCGTGAATTCCCGTCATGCTCCGGGGAGGGCAGGCCTGCCTGGACCTTGTTCAGAAATGACACTCGGCACTCGGGACGCTGCCCTTGCTGACCTGGCCTCCCGTTGTGCAAGGGGAGGCTGGGCCCTGGTGCGAGGGGCGTGCCCGGCTCCTCCCGTGTGCCCGCGCCCTCCGGGGAGAAGCTGCGCTCCGGACACTCAGCCCCAGGCACATCCTGGTGCGGCCATAGGGATACAGCGGCAGGAAGGACACGGAGGGAGGGAGGGGGAACGCCATCGCTCGCGGGCGGCAGGCTGCCATTAGAAGGGGGCCGTCGGGTCGCCTCGGCGGACAAGGCCTGGAGGGGGCGGCAGTGAGGACGCCCGCGGAAAGAGCACGTGGGGAGAAGCCCGTGCAAAGGCCCCGAGGCGACCGCCCCGGCCTGCTTCAGGAACAGGGTGGCGGACAGGGAGGGACAAGGGGACGCGACGGGGACGCAGTCGGACCCGGGGGCCCAGGAGGACCGGGCTGTTCCCCGCGCGGGCCGGAGGCCAGGGGAATGGGCGGAGGATGGAGGACAGTGGGTGGCCAGGTTGAGAAGTGACGGCAGCTGGCGCCCGGGAGGTGGCGTGAGGGCCGCGGGGAGGGGCTGGTCCGTGGGTGCGTTTGAAAGTGGGCCGGACAGGACTTCCTGAGCCTGGACATGGGCTGGAGGAAAGAGAGGGTTCGAGGTCGCGCTGAGACTCTCGGCGGAGCAATGGCGGGGCCGGGCTGGGGTGGGAGGGATGCCTCGGGTGGGACAGACGGACGGGACGGCTCCGATGGCCGCGGCACGGTTTTCTAACGGGGACGCAGCCCCGTTCCTCCTCTGGCCCTGCCCGGAGGCCGGCCTGGGCTCCTCTGTGCGGGAGGGAGGGATCCCCGTGGCCCCCTGAGGGTCCCCCCGCCCCTGAAAAGATTCTTCCAGCGGACAGAGCATGTGTGTGCTCGTCACGCTGCTTCTCTTTGAACACTGCAGTGTGCGTGTGTATGTATGTGTGTGATGTATGTATGTGTAGGTGCATATGTGCATGCATGTATGTGTGTGCATGTGCGTGAGAGTGTGTAGGTGAGTGTATATGTGTATGTGTGTGCATGTGTGTGTGTGAGTGTGTGTGTGTGTATGAGTGTGTGTGTGTGAGTGTGTATGTGTTTGTGTGTGTGTGTGAGTGTGAGTGTGAGTGTTATAGTGTGTGTGTGTGTGAGTGTGTGTGTGTGTGTGTGAGTGTGAGAGTGTGAGTGTGTGTGTGTGTGTATGTGTGAGTGTGTGAGTGTGTGAGTGTGTGTGAGTGTGTGTGTGTGTGAGTGTGTGTGAGTGTGTGTGTGGGAGTGTGTGTGTGTGTGTGTGAGTGTGTGTGTGTGAGTGTGTGAGTGTGTGTGTGTGAGTGTGTGTGTGTGAGTGTGTGTGAGTGTGTGAGTGTGTATGTGTTTGTGTGTGTGTGTGAATGTGTGTGTGTGTGTGAGTGTGAGTGTGTGAGTGTGTGTGAGTGTGTGTGTGTGAGTGTGTGTGTGTTTTCCAGGCTCCGTTTCCTAGAATTCCAACAGCTGCTGCCGTTAGCGCAGAGAACAATCCCCTGGGCCTCCGGGGCTCGGAGATGAAGGAGCAGCTGTTTCCTGAGCGCGGCCTCAGGGGTCCGTCAGCCCTTAGAAACAGCCAGAGTTTAAAAAACCCTCAAACCCATTAATAAACCAAACGCACTCACAGCCAGACGATCCCCCCCCGCCCCTGATGCGCACAGAGGAGAGACGGACACTGGCACAGCCGGGCCCGTGGACAGGGGGCGTGGAAAGACCGGCCTCACAGGGCGTGTGGGCATCGCCGTGCCCTGGGGCGTGGGAGAGGCCAGCCGTCCGCCTGTGCGCTCCTGGGGGATCACACACAGCAGGTGCCTCTGCCCGGGGGCTCCCCTCCGTCCCGCACCCTCCCCGGGCCCGCCTGGCCATCACGCCCGCCCCGTGTGGGCGTCGAGGGGAAAGGACTGTCAGGCTGGGCTTTTCACACACTTGTTCGGAGTCTGAGGCTGGGTGAGGACGGCGGGTCCTGACTCACTTCCTCTCCTTAGCGCCGGGCGGGAGCTTCCTGGGCATTGTTCAGGGCTCCGTGTTCAGGGCTCGGTGTTCAGGGCTCCGTGTTCAGGGCTCGGTGTTCAGGGCTCGGTGTTTTCAGAAAGCCCGTTCGCTGGGAGGCCCCCCCCCTCCCCGGCGCTTTCACTTCCAGCCGAGCCAATGCGCTCGCTCTTTCTTTCTTTCTTTCTTTCTTTCTTTCTTTCTTTCTTTCTTTCTTTCTTTCTTTCTTTCTTTCTTTCTTTCTTTCTAAATAATATATTTTATTGATTTTTTACAGAGAGGAAGGGAGAGAGATAGAGAGCTAGAAATGTCAATGACAGAAACATCGACCAGCTGCCTCACTCACACCTCCTACTGGGGATGTGCCCGCAACCAAGGCACATGCCCTTGACCGAAATCGAACCCGGGACCTTCCGTCCGCAGGCCGACGCTCTATCCACCGAGCCACACCGATTAGGGCTCAAGTTGGCGATTTCAGTTGAGAGCGGAAGGGATCGCCAGCGTCGCCATGGAGGAGCCGGAGGTTTTGGCCGGAGATTTCCAGAGGAACGCTGAGCAGAGCCCCTCTTGTGCGAGTCGCCGGCCTTCCCTTCCCGTTCCCCTCACGGGGGACCCTCCGTTTCCTGGGGTTGGGGGGCAGCAAGATAAACCCCCTGCGACCTGTCCTGGGCTCAGAAACGCAGAGAGAAGCTGAGGCTGGCCATGGAGGCGCTGGGCTCCGGGCAGGAGCCATGGACCCCGCAGTCCGACCTGTTCTGGAATTTCTACAGGCGAGTCCGAGGGCCCGTGCCCACACGTGCATTCGCCACGCAGGCCACAGGCAGCGTGGCCCCGGGGAGGAGGGGCCTGGAGAGGGAGCGGCCGAGGGCGACCCCTACACGGGAGCTCCGGTCCCTCTTCATCCGTCCACACGGCGCGCGGGGGTGGCCACGGCTGGCCGTGCACCCAGCAGCGTGCTCCGCTCCAGACGGACCACAAGACGAGGGACTCGGTCCGTGGCGAGGGCGGGCGGTAACGGAAGACAGGCCGACGCCGGTGGAGGTGCTGAGTCGCGGGGTCCGGCTCAGGGCAGAGGCAGAGGCAGAGGCAGAGGCAGAGGCAGAGGCAGAGGCAGAGGCAGAGGCAGAGGCAGAGGCAGGGCCTCGGGTCCCTAAGCCAGCCGGCAAGGGGGCCGCTCCGCGGAGCCGGCATCTGAGCCAGTTGGAGCCGACAGCGGGGCGTGAATCAGCCAAGAGAATGAATCAGGGTGCGGGCAGGAGGCAGCGGATCGATGTTTCTCTCTCATCGGTGTTTCTGGCTCTGTTTCTCTCCCTTCCTTTCTGTAAAAAAACCAATATGATATATTTTTTTAAAAACACAAAAAA